GAGTATATGTGTATGAGTGTGTATATGACTGTAAGTGTATGTGTATGTATGTGTGCACAACTGCATGTGAGTGAATATATATGCATATGTGTGTGTGTGTGAGTGAGTATATGTGCGTATGAGTGTATGTGTGTCTTTCTAGCTGTGGCCTCCCACTGACGTCCCTGTCCTGTGGACTGAGAGTAGTGTCTGGTCTGAGCAAATCTGATCTAGCCGGCAGCCATTTTTTTTTTTTTTTTTTTTCCCTCAAATGTACCTCTCTTCTTCAAGCAAGGGGGAAATCAGAGAAAACTCTGCTTTTTTGCCACTGCTTTTCCTCTCCTGCAGGGAAGGGCAATAGCAGGCGGGATCCACCCTGGGATAGACTTAGTGGCCTGAGTCTTTGAGTCAGGGGCCCTGGCTTTGAATCCTGGCTTGGTGCTTACATTTTCCCGGTTGTATAACCCCCTGGATACAGTCTTTGATCTTTCTGAACCTCAGATTCTTTATCTGAAAAAGGAAGAAATATTTACTTTGCAGGGCTATGAGGATTAACAGTGCATACAAAAGATCTTGCCTAATGGCTGTGACACTGTAGACGATAAGTACATAGTAGCTGTTTTTACTGTTATCTGCAAAAATGTAAGCACGGCGGAGTGTTTTTGGTGCCCCAGAGGTAGTGGCCTCCTCTGCCTCTTCCACACTCAGTGTTTATCATGGGTCGCATTTCCCACATCTTAGGTGGGCTGTTTCAGGGACATTGATGTTGAAATCTAGGGCTCCTGGATCCAAACACTTGACCAGAAATAAAGAAAATAAGCTTTAATGGTAGAAGAACAAGTAGAGGCACCAGTTTGTTTCCTCATACATGGATCTTGGGGTGGGGTGGGAGCAAGTTTTCTGGAATCATTGTGGAAGGAAAATTTAGAGTTAAGGGAACACTCATTTTCTGCTCCCTGTGGACATGGGTGTAGTTGATTTATGCATCCATGTGGCTCACATTTAGTGAGTAGCCCCTTGTCCCATGTCTGTGGTAGGTGCTAGGCTATAACAATGAGCAGATGGACACCATGCCTGGCATCATAAAGCTAAAGCAGGGCATACAGCCAGAAAAATAACTGCACAGAAAGCAAAGTATTACGCATGGTAGCAATAACATGATTTTTTAAAAAGGAGAAGAAATTTAGAAATCATGAGGTGAGGGGTATCTGCTTTAGACTGAGTGTTCTGGAAAGGCCTCTGAGGTGGGGACATTCAGTGACATTTCGGTGCAAGGTAAAACAGGAAGGAGCTACCATAGGAATTGGGAGAAGGAGGCCGTTTTGAGGAAATGAAATAAGGACCCCTAACCCCATGTGACAGAAGTGTGGTGCTGTGGATACGGCCCTGGGGATGAGGCCAGAGAAGCATGGGGCAGAGGCCTAATCATGCAAACAGTCTCAAGGTTGTTGGGATCCTGTTTTAATCCACATTTCAACTTTTACGCAATTCCTACTTCTGCATCCTCAAATCTCGGTCACCCAGTGCATTGCCAACGAGAGTGGTGCTTGTGTCCAAAGAGCTGCCTGCCAAAAACCATTGACCTCCAGCGCTGCTCCTTCACTGTCTTCGTGCTTCAGTTTCCCCACTGAAAAATTGTTAATATTTTCCTCCAAAACATTCACCTTTCACTGAACCACTACATGAGGCTTAAAAGAGGGGCTATCAATTCTCTCCATCTTTTTCTTTTTTCTCCTTCTTTGCCTGGGTCAGAGAGGGGACCCGGCACACTGGGGGCAGCAGACCACCATTAATAAAACTTTGACTTCTTAAAAAAAAAAAAAAAGATATCTTGCAGGATTGTTGTGAAGCCCCTGCCACTGGAGCTCAGGATCACTCACCTTCTTTTGGCAGAGAGGAGGCAGGCACCTGGCCGGTGAGGGAGGCTACAGCGTGGAAGCAGGTGCAGTGAGAGCTGCTGGCTGTCCCTGTCTTCCTACACCCCCACCACCCCCTAGTTTTGTCCCTGCACCATTATTGCTTTATTACTGTTTTCAGTCATATATAATTCCAGCATTTTCTATAATCTCAATCTTTTCATTGATACCAGATTTTTATACAAAGATTTGTATATAAAATGATTATGTACCCACCAGAATACATTCCCCAGCAATTAGAACGTTTAAAATGCTGCTCCTCACACTCCTTCCACACATTCCTCATTTATTACTTTTGAAAGTGTTTTGTAATTTTGTGTGTGTGTGTGGATATGTTTACAAATCCAATAACAATTCTCATTTAGAGTTGCACAACACGGAGCCATTTTGAACCCAGACAGATGGCAGCTAAATGAAGTTTAATTAAAGAATGAGTGCTTTGAATCAAATCACTTTAGAAAGTACAGTACACTGAGATTCTGGAGAGGTTGCATAAACAGCATCTGGGCTGTTCTGCAGAAAGCAGGGCCTGTTTGAGAGGAAATACTTGGAAAGGCATCCCCATTGGATCAGGGGCTGAGCAAAGAGAGAAGGCAGGCGGCCAGCGGCCCCCAAGCTCGTCCTCTATCCTCTGTCCTCTGCCTGGACACGTCTCCCAAAGCCCTGAGCAACCAGGACAGGAGAGGAAACTGACGCAGGCCATCTCTCAGTTCAAAGGATTTGACTGGGCGGAGGCGGGAGGGGTTATCCCCTTCTGATTTTATGGAATGAGGTCGAGCACCAAGGCGCGAGGGTTTGCTGTACCAATCCACTTAATTGCATGCGCGTCCGTAGTGACAGTGAAAGGAGACAGATGCGGGAGGCTCTGCAGGCAGCAGCGCGGCTGGATTGGGGTATAAGGCCCTTCCCCTGGGCTCCACGCCTCTCCCGGCAGCCGCCCGGGGCGCAGGCTCTCTGCCTGTCTCGCTTACGTGGAGCCGGGCTAAACGCCTCCTCCTGCCAACCCGGCCCGGCGGGAGCCGCTTCCGGCTCTGGCCTCTGATCTGAGCGTTGGGGCGAGGGCGGCCCGGGCGGGTCTAGACGACGGAGAGGCGCCAGCCGGCTGCGGCGGGGAGACGCTGCGGGGGCGCCAGGTGGGCCCAAGCCCTGGGCGGTCCTAGGGGAGCCTGGTGCCCAGGTAGCAGCACTCACTGCTCGGTGTGGCTGCCTTGACAAAGAAAGGGGAGAGGCCTGGAATGCAGGGTTTAGAAGTTTGCACTGGTGCTGTGGGGTAGGTAAAGAACGGAGGTTTTTAATTCAGGGAGATGCAGGGTTAAATGGGAGAAGGATGGGTTACAGGGAAGCAGGGCTGAAGGCAATATCAGCTGCTAGGCTGGCCGTGATTTCCTGGGCAGTTTCTGCCTTGAGGGTGGTAGTCAATGTAGGTCTTTGACCTTTCCCTGCTCCTGGAGAGAAAAGGAAGCCTTCCTGGCCCAGGGCAGAGGCCTGAGGATGGAGTGGAGGGCCCTGGAGACACTGGGATGAGGGAGGAAGTGGTGGCACCAGCAGAGAGAAGAGCAGTTTGGGTTGGGTGTGCCAAACTTGTGGTTTCTGGCTTCTTGCATCTTTCCAGGAGGAAGCAGAGTCCGGAAGGCTGGGATGGGGCCTTCCCTCCCATTTCTGGGCATGAGGTTGACCCAGAGGGCTGGCAGAAGCTCCTGGACTGTTTGGATCATATACTTAGCTGACTAATTACTCAGTTCCTCCGAGACTTAGTCTTCTTGCTGGAACTTGGCTGGATCCTGTGGTCACCCTGACTCCTCCACACCACAGCACTCCTGACCAATTGACCTTCAAGTTCTGTTGGCTGACCTTTTTATTCTCCACCTGGCCCAAACCACTGCCAGCTCTCACTGGAACTCTAAGAGCCTCCCACACGGTCTTCTAGTTTCTTCTCGCCTCTGACATTCTCTCTGAAAGAGGGCTGATACTTCCCAAATGAGGTTCTGGTCATGGCTTCCCCTGATACTGTTTGCTGTGGCTCTCACCCCCACCCCCAGCGCGCACGCGCGCACACACACACACACACACACACACACACACACACACTCTACGCACACACACTAGCCTGTGAGAAAAAGGATGCAGTCTGGCCTCAGAGTGCACAGCTGGGCCAGCAGAACCAAGGATGCATTTCTGTCCCCACTCACTCCTTCAGTGCAGCACTGTATCCACAGCTTGCTGACTGCCCTTACCTACCCCTCCATCTTACTACCAGCCACTCTCCTCGAGCCTTCTGCTCTGGTGACTCCTTCTTGTTCCTGGAATGCCCAAGTTCTCAGTCCAACTTCACTCCCTTTGGACATGTGGCTCTCTCCTCCTAGACCACCACCTGCCCCGCCCCTCCCCACTTGGTCCCACCAACTCTTAAATGCTCTTCGTCTCAGCTTCAAGGACTCTTTACTGATTCTACACTAGATAAGGTTGCCCTGCCTCGTGCTCCCAGGGCACTCTGTCCTTCCCTATCAGGACACTAGCACCGCATGCCTATCTTCCCCACTGGGAGTGAACGAACAGCCATGTAGCATGCCAGGCCCCAGACAACTGCCAGGCCCTTTCGACTTGTGTGTTTCTGCCTCCAGTCCTACCCCTTCCTCCACCTTTCCACTTGCCACCCAAAGTGGTCTTTCTGAGACACAACTGTGACCCATCATGCTGCTGCTCAAATGCCCTGAGCTTTATCAAAAATCCACCCCACCCTCCAGGCCCAACTTAAAGCCTGTTCTTCAAGATGTCTTCCCCTCTAGCCATAAAAACCCCAACGCTTGATCATACTTGACACGTCTGACTTCACCTGAGTTATTGGGACCAAGACAGCCTCCTCCCACACCATGCACTCCCTGGGGCCAAGGGGCCAGTCTGGCACTTGGCTTTCCATGGCACTGCATCTTGAGGTCACGTGGGCCCAGCAGCAGAGAAATGACTGGAATCTGTGCCCAGACATCAGGGCCCAAATTCAGAAATACCACCTCTGTGTTCGCAGGCCACCTGAGCTGGGGTTCCTAACCCCTTCCTATGGCCGTAGCCGCAATTCCAAAAGAGAAAACGCAACAGTTAAGAGCAAAGGCAATTTTTTTTTCTTTTTTTACTTATTTAAAAAGGCCTTGGTGGCAGGAATATAGTGTAAAAATCATTGGAAAAACTAAAAGGCATTGATACATATCCGAATATACACTTTGTACATAAATTACATTTCCTTTAGTCTTTCTGAGTGAGGTCCTGATTCAGCACTGAGGTCTAGTAATTCAGAGGTCCTGGCAGCTGCACGTTCAGGCCGGCATAGTCCACCATGTACATTGGCCATTGCTAGAGAGATGGGGACAAACAGTCTGGGTTAGGACTCTAGGTGATATGGGAAAAACACCAGAACACTTAGCTCTGCTTTCTGAAGAGCTTCCTCATGTACTATTTATTTTGAGGCTGCTGAAGGCTCAGAGGGATCATGAAGTTCACCAGTGGCCATGGAGCCTGGGTTGGAGCCTTCTGACCTATTTCCACCTGTGTCCCAGAGGCTAATCATGTGGACCAGACATGAAGGCCAAAGGGAATGTGAGATTGGCTCAGAACGGGTGGTTATGCTATCAACTCAGCCTCCTCTAGGCCTCGTGTGCCAATGAAGCTGTCATGTCTCTCTGGGGGTGTGGGGGTGGGGGGAGCTAGTGACCCTCTGTGGGCACTCACGCACCCAGAAAGGGAGACCGGCAAAGCCTGAACTTTGGAGTTTTCCAGGAAGGGGTTGAAGGGAAACATGGCCAAAGGATAAATAAACCCTAAAATCCACAAGTAAAAAAAATTCTATAACTATGTATGGTGACGGATGTTAACTAGACTTATTGTGGGAATCACTTCATAATATGTACAGATATTGAATCATGATGTTGTACACATGAAACTAATATAACGTTATATGTCAATTATACCACAAAAAAAACCCCTAAAATCTTTTCCAGATGTGTTCCAATACTGTCCCCATTTGGACTCAGGATTTCAAAGCTAATATTTTGAAAGAACTCTCAAGTGTGTGCTCTTAGTGAAGTTTTCATCTTGGGTGGGAGAAACCAAACCCAGCCACATGGAAGAACAGGCAGAGTTTGCAGGTGGGTTCTCTGTCCACCACTGACTGCACAGTGAGGCTGCAGAATCAGTTGGCCTCAGATGCTCCTTCCTCGTCTGTACTCTTCGGGTAATACCCACACCTCCCAGGGCTGTGAGCACATGCTGTGAGCAGAGATTAACCAAGCACCTGACTGCCCCAGGGACCTGGGCCTCTGCTCAGGGTCCTTCTGCTCTGTCACTGCCCAGGACAGTGGGTCCTTTCCCTCTTAGCCTCCGTTTGCCCACCTGCCTGGTGGGGATGCGACTTCCTGCCTGGGTAACTGTGAGCCTCGATGAGAGTGGTGGGCTATCTTGTGGGGAGATCAGGCAGATGTGTCTGTGACCATGAGGTTGTGGAGCCCATTCAGAGCCCAATGCCTCCCCAAACCCACGTCCCACAGTGGAGGGTCCTGCCCGAGTGTGGGGTGAAGGCCAGAGAGGAGTAGTCAGGTCCAGATCTGTGCAACTTTACCACGAGTGAGATCTGGTTGGTGGATGCCACGGACTCCGGGTTGGAGGACGAGGATGAGGAAGACGAGGAGGAAGAGGAGACTGAGTTCCCTTCAGAGACCCGCTTCCTCTTGCGCTTGGGGATGCTGTCTTTGGCTGGTGGGAGAAAAGGCTGCTGATGCCAGATGCCAAGGCCATTGTGTCTCAGCCTCCTAGACACCCCCTGGAGAAGGCCTTTGTTTTCAGCTTTAAGTCTCCTTCCCAGCATTCAAGGCTCCCAGACCACCATCTGAGGCCCATCTCTCCAGCCTCCTTTCCTTACCAGGCCTCACAGCCCATTTGCCCACCTTCTGCTCCAGCTCACCTGCCTGCCTTTGCTAACACATATCCTCACCCCTGAGGTAGGCCTCCCCACTAGGCTCAGTTCAGGCCCAGGTCCTCCTTCTGCCCTCCCTAGACCATCAGGCCTGTGGGTCCTGGCCTCTCCAGAACTCCCAGAGTCCCTCTTGGGGCCCTGCATCCCAAGAGCATGGCCTCCCAAGCAGCACAGACTTGGGCCTTGGGGAGAATCACTTAATAGCCCTGCACCTTCATTTCCTTGTGAGTAAAATGTGTATAAGACCCTGTCGGGTTGCTAGGAGGATCCCATGAGATAATGTGCCTGGCCTCCAGTAAATACTCAGAAACAGAACTGGTATTGACATTGTTACTGTTACAGTGGATGTGTGATGACCCTGACCTGAAAATGCTGTGACAGATGACAGTTCACAGGTATCAGTGGACAAGTTGTGTCCCAGTGGTGGGGGAGAAACCCCTCCAGTTTAGAGCCAGAAGTCCTAAGTTAAAATTCCACTGCTGCTACTTACTAGCTGTGTGACCCTGGGAAATTGATTGACCTCTCTGAGCCAAAAGGGGAAAAACTGTGTGATGTGAGACTCGAATAAGATTGTGTGTATGAAAGAGCCCAGTACCAAGCCCAGAACAGAGTCAGGACTCAGCAGGTGTTTTGCTGCTGCTTAATTAAATTGATGTGAATAGAGAAGACTTATAAAAAAGATTTACAACTATGTGCTACATAAGTGGGGTTTGGGGCTTGACTGAGTGGACAGATGACTACATAGAAACCTAACAGGGCCCACTAGAAGGGTCTTAATGACAGTGTGAGGGCAGGCTGGGCCCAGGGGGGCAATTGTTTGTCTAGCTGGTGAAGAAAAACCAGAGCCTGGGAGTCGGCAATATGGTATAAATAAAGACCCTGGGAAACAGAAGGCTCTGGAGGCTCCAGGAGCCAGGCTATGAGTTGGGGACGAGTGAATTTTGTGGGAGGCAGGAGGGTGCTGCTGAAACTGGCTGAAGCCCCTGGATTCTGCCTGTATTTGTAAGGCAAATACCTATATCAGACCTTAGGCTTTTAGAATCAGTTCGCAGGACCTAGGAGACCTTTCTTTACCTCCACGTGAAAAGAAGTCAGAAGTGCTGGCCCAGAGTTGTGGCCAGCCCGGGGTCACTAGAAGATCCTAATGATGGTCGTGGTGGGGGAGTGGTAGATCTAAGTGATGGCATCCACCCTCTGATAATCTGTCCCAAATTTTCCTCCTCCCTAAGGCCTTCTCTGTCTCTGCCTTTGACCTGGGAGCAGCTCCCAAACCTCCCTACCCCGAGTGCCTGGTGCCCTGTCTGGCCCTTGAGATGAGCACATGACAGAAGGAGGTGGTCTCTGGTTGGGCATTGCCACCCCAGGCAGTGGAGCTTCAGGTGAACCTGGACCCATCTGGAATTGGGCCCTCAGGTTTCAGGCTGGGGTGGGGCAGCCTTGCTGAACCTCCATCGCTGTTTCCACTGAGCAGCCATACTGAGGCCTATAGTCCTCCATGGCCTTCGGTTCATATGGGTGGTCTGGACACAGGGCTCTAGGTGGCCACCAACTCATTATGTGGCTTGGCAAGTCCTTTTCCCATTTCAGGCCTCAGTTGCACAGCTGTACAATGAAGGCACACCTCCCAGTCACAGAGAGGTACATCTTCCTGAGTCCTATCTCACACCTCCTCAGTCAGAACCATTATATCAGTCTTCCAGGTTCCTGTGAATTGAAAGGTTCTAAAGTCCAGGGGCTGGTGCGGGAGTGTGCCCTGCAAATGCAGGCAGAAGTAAGGGGGTCCAGCCAATCTGGCAGTACTCACCGGCCTTATCCCTGCCAGTCTCATGTCACCCTTTCTCTCCCCATGTGGCCTCCATGATCCTACCTGATATCCCCTCCTTCTGACTCCAACCTGCCCTTCATCCTCTCTCTCTAGCTGATCTGACACCATCAGCCATGCTGTGGCAGGGTCCTGCTCCAAGGACAGCTACAGGATTCCTGGGGCCTTCTGGGAATACTGGCCCTGCAGATGGAGATCTCCAGCTCTCTGGAGAGGTACTGGATGGAGGGGGCATATATTTTTCTCTAGGTGGTCAGCCACCTATTGTGTGCCACCTGTTGTATGTCCACAGATTGGTCCTTGAGAGGTAGAAAGGTGGCTTCTTCAGCTACCTATTTACCTGGCACCTTGGCATCATTGCAAATTTCTGCAAAAGGTCTGAAAAAGAAAGAAATGAGGTAGCAGTTAAAAAATGAAGTTTTCTATTCTTCTCACCTGCTCCCTGAATATGGGTGATATCTCTCTTGAGATGAGACGCTGCTGCTGCTGGAGCATTAGGTAAGACTCAGATGAAAATGGTTAGCACCCCTACCACAGAGCAGGCAGATGAACAATCGCCAGCCTGGAGCTGTCAGTGCTGTGCCAGGCAAATTGCCCCTTGTGGTCTGGTTTCCTCATCTACAAAGCAAGTGTGTTGTCTGACAAAGGGTTCTGAAATGTGTGTCTAAATAGATATTCATTACAGTATTATTTTTTACAAACCTTTTAATTTTTACTTTATTTGCAGCATTATTTCTATGAACCCCCCCAAAATTAGCCACAACCCAAATGTCCATCAGTAGAGGACAATACGGTCCATCCGTACAGTCATTAAAGGGAATTATCATGGGCATAAGGTAATGCTCAAATGCGTTCAAGACATTTACTGTCTACAGATAAATACTGTATGATCTCAGCTTCATCTTCCCCAAATGCACATCTAATAGGCATTATGAGAAAAGTGGAAACGTGGAAGGAAAGCCCCAAAACGTCTTTGATGGTTCTCTCTGGGAGGTCCAGGTGGGCACCTTCTCCTACAGTTTCCTGTATTTTCCAGTAGTTACTTCACAGGGTGGGCTGTAGGCAGGAGGGGAAGGAAACCTCTACTTTTCATCTGAGATCTTTCTGAATAATTTGGGTTTTTTTTGAGGGGGGGGAAGGGACACATGTAAATATTATTTTAATTTTAAAATATCTAGTGTAAAATTGAAAAGAACATATGTATGGGGAAAAATACAGGAGAAATGCATCACAGCGTTAACTCTGGAGAGGAGAGTTATGGGTTATCTTTTCTTCTTCCTTTTTGAATTTCCCTAGTTTGCTATGTGTATTGTTTTTAAATCCAAAAATAATCAAATAAACTATTCTATTAAAAAAAAGTCTAGGATGGGGTCCCATAGTGTAGCAGTTAGCATGTCTGCTTTACATGCAGAAGGTCCTGGGTTCGTGTCCCAGGGGAGCCATGGTCCATGGTCTATGGCCATGCCACGCTCGGAACCTAAGCAGGGTTGGGCCTGGTTAGTACTTGGATGGGAGACCACCTAGGAAGACCAGGTGCTGTAGGCATTAAAAAAATAAAAAAAAAAAGTCTAAAAGGGTATATAGTAAAATATGGACAGAGGTTATTGCTGGATAATGAGAGTACTAAATGACTGTTATTTTCTAAATACTTGAAAATGGGTAAAAACTAATGATTTATTTAAAGAAAGTAAAATTAAACTAAAATTTTAAAAATAAACACCCATGAATGTTGAAGCTGTGTGTTTCAGTAAGAAAGGGGTTGTAATCAGGACACCTGGTGCTACAGACTGAATGTCTGTGTCCCCCTCAAATTCCTGTGTTGAAACCAAACCCCCAATGTGATGATATTAGGAGCTGGGGCCTTTGAAGGTGATTAGGTCATGAGGGTAGAGCCCTCATGAATGAGATTAATGCCTTGTAAAAGAGACACCAGAAAGCTGCGTGTCCCTTCCAACTGAGAACATAGCAAGAAGCTGGCCACCTATAAATCTGGAAGCGGGCCCTAACCAGACACTGAATCTACCGACACCTTCCCAGCCTCCAGAACTATGAGAAATAAACTTCTGTTGTTTAAGCCACCCTGTCTATGGTATTGTTATAGCAGCCCGGAGGGAGTAAGATACCTGGGTCTGGAGCCAAGCTGACTCACTGTGACTTACACCGTCCCTTTCCTCACTCTGGGTATCAATTTCCTCATCTTTAAGATGACAGTGTTAAGCTAACCCATCTCTTGGATTCTGTGCAAATGAATGGCAAATGAATGATAGGTATGTTTGTCTGTCTCTCTCCTTCCCACAGCTCCTGGCTGGGCCTGCTTTGGGCATTCCCCTCCAGAATCCATGCAGCACCCTTGCCTGCTTTGCCCACCCTGCTCCAGGTGCGGGGAGCACTCACTGGAGCTGGTTGATGATGACCATTCGGACATGCTCCCGGGCCTTCAGGATCTTCTCCAGCCGGTGGATGTCATAGGTGTTGGGGTTCCGGAAAGGGATGTCGTCAGGTAGGCCTGTGACCTCGACGGCATCTGGGCTGTCTCGGATCAGTTTGTAAGGGACCAGCACAGGCCGGTTCAGGCCCAGGGCCTCACCTAGAAGGTACATGTGGTCAGGGCGAGAGGAAGATGTCCCCTGTTAAAGGCCAAGCCCTCTGGGAAAGGGCTGGAACCTGGCACAGTCCAGATAAGCAGTTACCATGCTCTAGAGAGAGTTTAAAAGTCAACACACACACCATTTCAAAAAACCTAATTAGCAAAACTAAAACTCTAATACCCAATGCTTATAATGAAACAAGTACCATTACATGTGCCTAGTGCAAAGATTTGTTAAATGTGCACACCTAGAATTGACAAATGAGGACTTGATGTCTGCTTAAAATCCACACTTGTGTTAGAAAAAATTAAATACTTAAGTACTTATGGATGAAATGATATATCTTAGATTTGTTTCGAAGTACTAAAAATATCAAGTGAGTATGTGAAGTAGATAAAATAAGATGAGCGAAATACTGGCAATCACAGAAGCTGGCTTTGGGTTACACGTGGGCCAGCACGTCATTCTTTCTGTTTTTGTGTATGTTTGAAAATTGGTTCCAAAATAAAAAGTGAAAAAGACAACAGCACAAACCACAAGCAGAGTCTCTTCCCGTTACTCTCAAAATGAAACTCTAACTTATGTCAGGCCTGCCCACCTCTCCCCGCAACCAGAAGCCTCCCCAACCTACTTGCTCACACTCCTGGCCCTCTGGTCTTCCTATTGGTCCCCAGTCACAGGGCTGCTCCCTCTGCCTGGAAAGCTTTCCCTCGAATGTTTGTCTCCTTTTGACATTCAAGTCTCAGCTAAAACACCCCCTCTTCGAGGGACTTTCCTGTTCACTGGTCCAGAGAGGCCCTGGCCTCCCACTTCCTAACCCCAGCACTCCTGGTCACACTACTACATTTTCTTCTTTTTCTCATTCTCTGAAATTTTTCTTTTTAAAAAATTTACTGTTATGTCTCTTCTGCTATAATGTAAAATGGAGATTTTACATTTATTTGCCACAAATAAAATGTAATGTATGCAGACCACCTGGTACAGACTGGCATTCATTAATCTGGAAAGTGTCGTATCAATTGTAATGATTATTAGCTCTCTCATCCTACGTTCTGCCTTGGCATCCTGAATGCCTTCAGCACAGGGCCTAGCATCGCCTGACTCTCATCTATTCCATGTCCATCCCCCTCAACAGACTCTGAGCCCCCTGACAGTGGGAGCAGACTCCTTGCTTTGGAGTCAAGGCTAAGCGCCTGTTGGGTAGACAGGCATCAGCATTAACAAGCTCTTGGATGTGGGCCATGGCCTCTGCCACACAGCCCAGCCCTAAAGGAGCAGAAATGCTGAACACTGTCTTTGCCCTGAGCACCACAGACTGGGGCTCTTTCAAAAAATGTTCTCAGACAGGGGGAATGAGGGATCAGTTTCCATCAACCACAGCCTGAGAAACTTTGTCCCAAGGGAGCTGGCAGGCCAGCTGGGGGCAACTGGAGGCCAGGCTGGCTGCAGAGGGAGGAGGGGCCAACCAGGAAGGCTGGCCCCAGAGACCTTGCCCCATGGGCCCTGCCCTCCGCACTGACCGTATTTCTCATTGAAGAGTTCCTTCACCTGCTCCCTCAGGATCACCTTTTCCCCGAGTCTGTTGGCATCATCTTCATCTACAAGAGGAAGACAAGGGGGAGTGAGGGTCAGCACAGGCTAGGCCACTGTCCTTGACTCTCACCTGCTAGAACAGTATCTCTAGGCCCTACCTACTCCCCTGCAGCCTGTTTCTGGCCTCAGCTGTCTGTCTGCATATCCATCCATCCATCCATCCCGAATTCTCTGAACAGCTCCCCAAGCACAGGCCCCATGTTGCACATGAAGCATCCTTAGGAGGAGGCAGGGCCCTTCCCTCAAGGAACTCACAGCCTAGGGTAGCACAGTTACAGTGCCCACCCAAAAGTATAACAGGAGACATGGGGCATGAATCAGGGTGCTCACCCCGATCTGTGTAAGTCTGGGGAGGCCCCCTGGGAGAACAGGATATCTTAAGTGGTCTCTTGGAAGGCAGGTTTGTGATGGATGGGCTGGGGCTGGGAAAAGACACCCAGGTAGGACTGGCCCATGCACAGCAGCAAAGGGTGAAAGGTCACAGCATGATGGATGTGGCTGAAGCACAGGGCGGTGCCAGGGGAGGCCCAGCAGCAGGTGCTAGTGTGACTGAGCTGGGCTAGCAGGCACTCACCCTGGCTGCCTAGCAGACCGAGAGCTCCAGGCCTGTGACAGGGAGACAGAGAGCTCTGGGTGTGGGGGCTGCACACTCTCCCTGCCCATTGTCCAGGGCAGCCCTCTGTGGGCACCAGCTGCTTGGACCTGTGCTCCCCTCACCCCTCTCCTCAGCCTAGAGGAGTAGCTGGGGTCAGGGGAGTCCCAGAGACAGGGCCTGGGCTGGGGGACGTGGGGAGAGGGAGAGGCCAGGGAAGTGGCTGGGATGGAACAGGTCCTGGGGACAGAGAGGCCTGTGGGCTTGTGGCCTGGTGTAGGGAGGGAGCTGGAGTTCCAGGAAGGGCACTTTGCACCATCACACGGAAACCACACTGGCTGGCATCTAGGGCGGGGGTGGAGCTAGACACAGGCAGGGAGCCAGGGCCTGGGAGATAAGGGGAAGAACAGACAGAATGGGACTGTGGAGAAAAACTCTGGTTTAATCTGGAAAATCGCACAGAACTCAGTTCCACTTAGGAGGCCAACTCGGGGACTGTGTCTCCCATGCAGGGGCTCTGTGCTTCTGTGTCTGTTGCCCCTTCTTGCATATCGCATCCCAACAAGAAGGCCTAGGCCTCCCCATGAACCTACTGCCAGGGAGGAGACCCCGTTCCCAGTCTGGGGGCTGCCCCTCAGAGCAGAGAGCTTCCGGCACTGCCCGATGCCCCCTCCTCCCAGCGCTCTTTCACCCACTGCCCTGGGCCTGCCGATTCCCACGGTCCCTAGTCTAGTTCCTTTCATGGCCACATTCCTGACTGTGGAATCTAGATCTGCCACGTCTCAAAGTTCCAGCACCTCCCTTTTCAACCACAGTTAACCTGAGACACTGCAAACATCAGGCATCCCAGTTCTCCTCCTCCTCCTATGTCCCCATTTCAGGGAGTAATGGCCCTAATTCAGCTGCACCAAGACCCCAAACTAAGTACTCCTCTTGGCCCCTCCAGATGGTTTTCAGGGCCCTAGACATGGCAAGAATCGACCTGACCCTTCTCCAGGTCCCAGGCAGACTACTATGACAGAGTTCTGGGCCCAAGGGCCATCTAGAGTCTGCAGGGAGGTGGTGGACACTTTCCACCTAACCCCTTGCTACCAAGGATTCCTCTGGCAGCCAGGATTCTGCACAGGCACTGCATCACTATACAGGACAGGGAAAGGAGGGCCTGGATTCACACTAACGTATGCCAGATACTCTGCTGGCTGCTTTCCCGGACATAATCACGGCTACCTCTCACCACAGCCGAGGACAGAGGCTGAGGATCAGAAAGGTTAAGTAATTTGCCCGAGGTCACACAGCTGCTAAAGTGCCAGAAATACTCTATCGGACCACAAAGCCCTGTTCTTTCACTCCACTATGAACCCTGGATTTCCTAAAGACTCTATTTCTCCATCTGTAAAAAGAAGAGTTGATTTTTAAGGTGTTTCCTCTAAATCTCTTGTTTTATCAGCTCATAGTTCTAGGTCTACCTCCTCTTGAGCCCAGGACAGGGCCAGACTTCATCGGTTGACAAAGCCTGCTGGATTGAAAGGAAGTGGACAGCATTCAAAAGATAAGCCCAATAAGCTGTGGTTGCAGATGTTGCTGGACACAGCTGTCTCTGTGCACACATGTATGCCTGAGTGGGTATTTCTTACATACCCACCCTACCTCCCCCTTGAGGCTCTTGTTGCCATGTGGGTGGAGAGACCAAGACAAGGCAGCCTTGCCTTGGGAGAGGCGATGCCAGGCCCAAGGACACAGAACTTGGAGTCAGAAACCTGGGCTACTGGGTCATGTGACGTCAGCACTCAGGATTTCTGTTCACTGCTCATTTGCCCCCTGAACAAATATTTCATAAGCACAATCCCACTTGGATGTGGTGATGTTCCTGGGCACTTAGCAGAGAACAGAAAACAGCCCTAGCCTGCGTCAGCAGTGATGAGGAAAGCTCAGTGACCCACCACCAGGCTTAAACACTGTCATTGAAGGGGCTGTGGGAGCACATGGGGATGCAACCCAGCCAGGGATCAGGGAGCATTTCCCAGGGGAGGTGTCCGCTGTGTGGCCTCATCCGCACACTGGGGCTCCAGGCATCCTATGGGCGCTCAACACGTTAAGACGTGAAAACTTTCTCCTCTCCTTCCAAGTCCTGCCTGGTTTGAGGAGGAGAGCACCCCCAAATCAGGCTGCAGCTGACAGGAAGTTACACCATGGTGCAGCCAACAGGAGGAACACTAGGATGCTAGGCAGTAAACTAGAAATGGTGAGAACAGTTAAATGTCAGGAGAGTAAGACCCAGGCTGCCTCGGGGACGGTGGTGACACTGGGAGGTGTCCTGAACACCTCTGGAGTATGGTGGGGGGCTAGATGTCTGTTGATAATACTGAGAATAATCACAGTTGCTGTTATGTACCAAACACATACTACATAAAACTGTGCCTGGCCCGTAACACGTCATCACTAGGTTCTCCTGGCTCAGCATCAGGCTTCAGAAAGGATGCCTCTTGGCTTCTCTCCACCTCTTTGTTTTTATTTAATTTGGAGGAAGTTCCATTTCTCTTAAAGGATCAAATGAATCAGGCTGAGTAGGTTCTGGTAGGGGTTGGAGGGGAGAGTGCCCCTGTCCCTCTGGGAACTCAGAGGAAACAGGAGGCAGCTCCTTGGGCTCTATGGGCAAAGGAGTGACTCACTTTCTGGGAGGGAACCCAAACCAGAGGTGAAGAAGCCTTGCTGTGACCCTGTTCTAGGCTCATCCTGCCCAGCTCTGTGCAAGGGAGAGGGCAACTTGCCAATCCCAACATGTTGCGGCTCGGAGGTGCCCAGAACAGAGCTGGTCTCCCCTCCCCTGATGTAAATTGTGGCCGCTGTCCATGGCTGATGCAGCTTGCCCCGGCACCCTGGTTACTCCTGGGGCGGAAGCTGTTGGGGGGTGCTATGTTCCATAGTCTAAAGGCTAGTTGTTACTGTTCTGAACCCTGAGTCAGCAAACCTATTCTTGGGGGATCTTCCTGAGCTCCCCTGAACCCAGGTTGGCTGTAAAAGACACCAATTTAAAATTTTTTTTTTTACACCTACAGCACCAGGTCTTCCTAGGTGGTCTCCCATCCAAGTACTAACCAGGTCTGACCCTGCTTAGCTTCCGAGATCAGACATTGGGCTTGTTCAGGGCAGCATGGCTGTAGACTAAAAGATACCAATTTTTGCAAGCATTTCAGAAAGTCCTCCATCTGGAAACGTCATAGTTAGGGTTCGATGCAGAGTGTGTGTGTGTCCTTAATGTGTACCTGCTTGAATGCCTGCATACTGCGGGGAGGAAGAGGGCTCCCAGGACAGTGACAGGAAAGGTCCCTGGCCCAGCAGACTGCAAGGCAATCTTGATTGTAACACTAATGCTCTGTGGAATTTCGAAAATCACTCAACCGCCTATTGGGAGGACCCAATAATGTCGCATAAAAAAATCTGAAGTCTCACGCCATCAAAGTCAAGTTGTTGATCCTGTAGCCTCAGGAAATTAAATTGTATACGAGACTCTTCCAGATACTGGAAGTTGATTCTTTTAATACCCTGGGTTTGTTATATCCACTTTAGGTAGAGCATTTTCTAAAACGCATCGAGTACCCTTTTCTTATTAAGCACACCTTGGGAGAGATTACCCTCATGATCTGTCCCCCAGTGCCATCCAGAAAGTGCTGCTGGACCTACCCCGCAGTAGTGACCTGTGCCCCACTGCCTCTGCCCCATCCATCCTGCGGGCACTTCTTCCTCTTCCTGATCATCTCCCCTCTCTCACCACTGTCTGCCCCAGCAGTTCTCATCTTGTCCTTTCTAATCTGCTGTTAGCCTGAGGATTAAACAAATTTTGCCTGGAGAAAGAAAGCAACCAAGCTTATTAAATCACAGCCATCCTAGCTAGGTACACAATTTTAAGCCAATGAGCTCAGCCTGATGCCTGGGGTGGCCCCACAGCCCTCTCCTGGGGCAAAGTACAAGAACCCTGAACAGCCTGGCCTTTTTCTGCTTAGCTGAGTTTGAGGTCTGTAGCTCAGATTGATGACTGTAGGCTGATAATCATGATCATAAACACAGAGGCACAGAAGCATCCAGCAGCAAGGGAAGGACTGTTTAAGAGGCGAGAAACTGAGATCTGTCCAGAAGGGTGGAATGAATATTCCTCCTCTCCTCTCTGCAGGGCCTGGGCTGGCATCAAGCAGCCCCAGGTAGACCTGGCCCTCCAGAGAACAGAGGGCAGATATCGGCAGATGCTCCACCCAGCAGGGAGCTGGGGCCACTCGGGTTGGGGACAAGCCATATCCCTCCCTTAGGCCTGAAGCTTGTACAACAGACCTCCCTTCCCTGGCACCAGACCGTCACAAGAATAAGAAGATGCACTTGGATTCACCTTTTAACCCTTTCTGGGCCTGCAGGTAGGTGCAG